ATAAATAGGGAATGGCCGTGAATATTAAAAAAATAAAAATAAAGTAGAGTAGATAGTGGCCTTGAGGATAAGAAAAAATCGATTTTTTGGGGGGAGAATGGACACAAGAAAAAAAATATAAAAAGTAAAAATTAGAGGAATGGAGAAAAAATAAAAAAATAAGAGGGCAGATGGTGGTGATGTGAGGTCTCTCAAAAATACCAATCTATCAACTAACTGCTGCTATGGGGACGAGAAAATTGTTGGGTGAGTGAAGGGAACGAACGGAAAAGTTTTTTTCAGAGTTGGGGAAGAAGAAAAATGGGGGGAAATTAAAATAATTCTGAAAAATTAAATTCTGATTTTTCCGGAAAACACAAATGTATTTTTTAAAATTAAAACATATGTATTCCGGAAATAGTATGTGTTTTCTTTTTCAGAATTTTAGTAAAACACAAAAAATACAAAAACACATTCCTCCGGAAAATACATTCCGGAAGCAAAAAATCAGAATTATGTACAAAGCAGAATTAAAAGTAAACACAAAACACAAAAATTAATTCTGAAAAAATTCTGAAAAATTAAATTCTGATTTTTCCGGAAAACACATGTATTTATTTTTAAAATCAAAACACATTCCGGAAACAATAAAATCAGAATTACTTTTTCAGAATTTTTAGTAAAATACAAAAATAAATTCTGAAAAATTAATTCTGATTTTTCCGGAAAACACATAGTTAATTTTTTTAATTAAATCGCATCCGAATGTGTTTTCTTTTTCAGACTAAAACACAAAAATTAAATTACAAAAAATAAATTCTGAAAATATTCTGAAAAATTAAATTCTGAAATTATTGACTACTATTTATATTAAATTATTTGTATTTCCCCACCTTCCAACCAGCACTGCTGTTTGAATCTCCCTTGTCCCGAAAGTAAGCAACATTGTGTACCATCCACTCATAGACTTGACTAAGTGTTAAACGTTGTTCTGGAGAAGCTAAAATTGCTTGGGTGATCAAATCTGCATATGACATATTTCCCCAGGCATTTCGACGAGTAGAGGATTTTTTAGAAGCAATTGAAGCAGATGAGGAACAGGGAAGTGCTTGTCCGCCTCCTAAAGGTGATTCAGCACGGGAGGAGTCGCCCCCGAGAGCAGAGTCTGGGCGGTCTCTGAAAAAAAAATGAATTTAAAATTGTGTTTTAGTAAAAATCATGAAAAAAATCCGATTTTATTTAGCTCTCGTGTTTTCCGGAAAACACAAAAAATAATCCGGAAAATACAAACATAAAAAAGTAATTGTATTTTTGTATTTTCTGTTTTAATTTTAGAAACAAATAAAAATGTATTTTCCGGAAATAAAATTCTGATTTTATTTTAATGTGTTTATTTATTTTTATTTTCCGGAAAATATGTACATACGTATTAATTCTGAATTTTTATAAATGTATTTTTTAATTGTATTTTTCCGGAAAAGTAATTCTGGTGTTTATTCTTTGAATAAACTTTTTCCGGAAGAATAAATAAATTGTTTTCGTAAAATTCTGAAATTAATTTCTTTTATAATTTTTGTGTATTTTCCGGAAATTAAAATTAGCCCAATATATCAACTCCAATATATTAAAAACTCACTCAATATAACTCAGTGGCTCCTCTGTAAATTCGTCAAATGTTGGACTCTGTTGATGAGATAATCCATCTAGTCGTATTCCACCAGACAATAAAGGGTCTGTTGTTATTCCCCTTTGGGGGATATTGGAAGAATAGGACTCAACAACACAATCGGCGTCTTCGTCGTAAATACTGCTGGAAAAAAATTTATTAAAAATACAAAAAAATTTTTAATAAAAGAAACACAACAAAAACACAACTATTAAAAAATCCCTCTACCTTTCCTCCTCCGGAATTCTGTCGTGAATTAGCGGTGAAGTCTGCGCTTGTCCTTCTATACTCATTGCTCGACGCATTGGCCATGTATTACAGCGGTCCCTCGGCACCTAAAATCAATGAAGAATAAAAATATAATAAATTAAATAAATAAAGAATCGATAATTTAAAAAATCGATGGATGCAAGGAAATTAAATTAAGAAATTGGCAAATTTCCCATGTTTTTAAAGCTTCCGGAAAGAGAGGCAACTGCCTTTTAAAGCGGTCGGCAACATTATAGAGAAAATTAACACATGTATTTTCCGGAAATAAGTTATAAAATAGACTTAAAGTTGTGTATTTTCCGGAAGAATTATATAGCTTCCGGAAAATTATTAAAAATACATGTGTATTTCCGGATCATGTATTTTTACGGAAACTATCATATTTAATGTATTTTCCGGAAACTCGTATATAATAAAATGTATTTTTACGGAAACTATCATATTTAATGTATTTTCCGGAAACTCGTATATAATTAAATATGTATTTTCCGGAAACTCGTATATAATAAAATGTATTTTCCGGAATAAATTTTCCGGAATAAACTATATATAAATTTGTATTTTCTTTAGCATCCGGAAACTATTGATAAATACATTTGTATTTCTCTCGTGTATATTTAAATATGTGTTTTCCGGAAAACAAATTCTCTACTAATAAATACAAAAAATTTCTCACCGGTTCCAACTCCTCCAAATCCCCACGCACATCAGGCGAAAAATTATGTGGATGTAACAAAATATTCGTTCCAGTTCCAAAACATCCACTTCCTCCAATTCCACTCAAAGAAGAAAGTCCAGAATCATTAGCCCCACCACCAACACCTCCCCCACAAATACTTCCAGAAAGAGGTACTAAATGAGGTTGACTTCCACTTGAACTTGAAGGGGAACAACACATATTTGTTGTTGTAGTCATCATTAAATGTTGTTGTTGTTGTGATTGTTGTTCAATTATATCCCCTCCAAGTTGACACAGAGTAGAGCCTGAGGAGGTTTGATGAAAGAGGTAGGGAGTTGGTTGTTGTTGTTGTTGTATTTTTGTTATTGTTGGGTCTTGGGGAGAAATAAATGTTGAGGAGGAAATTGTTGAAGGAGATAAACCTGTTGTTCCTACCATTGATGTTGAGGCTTCTGCAAATGGGAGAAAAGTGTTTATTTTAGTTTTATAGGTCTTTTCAATAAAATTTCTAAAATTCTGATTTTTCCGGAAAAATACATATTTACATTTACTCAGAAATACAATAAAGTTTATTATACTTAAAGATAAAATACAAAAATGTATTTTCTCTCGCTGAAATGTATTTTCTCTTGCGTATTTTCCGGAAAAATAACTAGGTAAATATTTTATTTTCCGGAAGAAATTGATTAAAGTAGGGGAAATATGTATGTATTTTCCGGATACAACTTCTAATTAAAATAAATTAATGTATTTTCCGGAAGAATTTTAAAGATAAAATACAAAAGCGATTTTTCCGAAAAAAATTAGTTGTGTTTTCTTTAAGAAACCTTTCCAGAGGTGTACTATATTGTTCCGGAAAATAATTTTAATTTATTTTCCGGAAACTAAACATCCGGAAACTGTTAGCAATTATTACCTTGATGCATTCCATAAACGGGAGGTCTTCCAGTATTTCCAAAATTAATAATTGTATCCGGTAATTGTTGTTGTTGTTGTTGTAAATTCATTTTATTTACCACCATCCCTTCATTCCAATTTTGTTGTAATTGTTCTTGTCTTCCAAAACCGTTAAAAGAATTTATTGTATTTTCAGTAGAGACTGCTGTTGAAGCAAGAAACGAAGCTGCAAATAATTGAGGTGAACCTGTTGGCGTAGATGAAGGATAAATTCCCCAACGACACAGAGGGGAAGGGGAATGTTGCTCGGTACTTATGGCCGAAATTGTTGTGTTTTCTTTTGCTGATGGCAAAATATTTTGCTCAGCAATGAATTGATTATTAAAGTTTTTTTGAGGGAATGTAGTAGAGAGAGATGAGGAAGTTGAAGAAGAAGAAGAATTTAAGGATGGTGAAGTCGTCGTGAATTTTTTTGAATAAAAAAATAGGTCGACTAAATTGAAATATTTTTTTGTAATTAGAAAATAAGCGCTGTATTCACCGGTTTATAGAGTTTAATAATAATAAAAGTTTTGAGGACTAGGATCTGTAAAAATAAATTTTAAAAAATTAATCCTTTAATTAATTTATTATAAAGTGAAGCAAAAAAATTAATCGAAAACTAGGGGAAAAGTAGGCGAAAACGACGTCTACTCAAAGTTATGTAAAATTGCCAAAACATAATCAAAAAATCTGAAATTTTGCAAAGATGTTCAAAATATCCTTGTCTAGTTTGTCTAAAATTTTCATAATTTTAAGTTTCATAATTTTCGAGTTCTGGTCGAAAAAGTCGAAATTTCACTAAAAATGCCTATATTTTTTGAAACTACGTTTACTCAAAATTATGTAAAATGGCTCAAACAAAACCAAAAAATCAGAAATTTTGCAAAGGCGTTCTCAATATATGCAGCTAACTAAATTAAAATTTTCAAAATTTTTGGTTGCATACTTTTCGAGTTCTGGTCCAAAAAGTCGAAAATTTCACTAAAAATCGCCTATTTAATGTACTATTAAATGCCATAACTTTAAAAATATTAAACCTAAAATTCTAAAATTTTAAACTTAGTTTAATAACACTTTTAAGATTAACCAAACAAAATTTTATAGTTAAAAGTGCTCATCAATTTAAATTATAGATACGCGTCTGAACGTTACCGAAGCAACACAAGCGTTTTTACTCCCACAAAACATTTTTAAATAATTAAGAGAGAAAAAAAATAAATTTAAAGTTTGTGGGGATTAAAAAAAGCAAGTGTGAACTTGAAAAGTTTTTAAGTGTGAAAATAAGTTTCAAGTTTAATATAAGGTGTTTACATTTAAATAGGTATTATAAAAAAACTATTTATTCAACTTTTGCATTTATAGTGTATTAAAAAAAATTTTTTTTTGAATTTTAAATTAAAGTGCATAATCAGAGAATGGGGAGAGAAATATATAAATTTCAGAAAAAAAATAAAATTTTTAGGGGTGGGAAGAAAAATAAAAAAAATATAAAAACAGAGAGAAGTGTGTAAACAATTTTTGTGTGTTTCAATTTTTTGCACTTTTAATCTAGTTGTTAAGGCAGAAATTTGGCAAAAACATAAGTAGAGGGAAGGGGGAGATACTTTTAAATTTAAAAGAAAAATAAAAAAAAAGAGGAGAAAGAAAAGAGAATTTTCGGTTTTTGAACAACAAAAGATGGGGAGTGTTATGATTCTTTTTTTATTTTTTTAAGTCCAACCCTAATTTTATCAAATTATTAAATGGGTAATAAATCAAGAGTACAAAGTAGAAAACTCAATAAAAAAATTTTTAGAGAAAAATTAAAAGAAATTTGGGGGAAATGTTATTGAAACAAGTTTCATTAAAAATTAGTAGATTTTGGTTGAAGCAAAACATTTAATAAATAATGTTGAAACAAACATTTATTAAATAAACTTGAAACAAACATTTAAAGAAACTCGAGACAAACATTTTATAATTAGGCATGCACAAGTTTAAATAAAAACATGAACATAAACATTTAAATAAACATGAAACATGTTCAGATGACAAAAACAAACATCCATAAATAAAACAACAAATAAACATGAACATTCGTAAACAAACATATGTAGACAAACATTTATTAAATAAACTTAAAACAAACATTTATAAACTTAAGAATAAATTAAATAAACTTGAAAATGAACATTTTAAAAATTAAACTTGAAGCAAGTTTTATTAAACTTTGTTTATTCTAAAAATAAACTTAAAACAAAACAAAGAATAAAAGTGAAGCAAAAACATAAAAAAATCAACCAAAAATCAAGAATAAAAAAACAAAATTTAACAAAAAAAAGAAACATTTAAAAAGAAACATAAAAGTTGATAAATAATGTATCAATTGTTTAAAGTACAAAATAAAACATAAGGTGACTGAAAGGTAATACTAGTTTTAGTTAAATTAAAATGACAGCTGACAAGACCGAAGATTCATTGAAAGGGTGAAAAAAAATATTTAATTAAAAGTTAATAAATTAAATTAGAAAATGAAGCGGAATTAAATTTGTTAAAATAAAGTAAAAAATAGAAGGAAGCAAAAATGAAGCATATTTTAGTGGAAATGAAGCAAAAAGTGAATAGAAAGGAAAACATGAAGCATGAAAGAAGAATGAAGTAAAATTGAACAAGTTTTGTTAAAATGAAGCAAAAATATAAAATAATTAATAAAACTTGAAGCAAATACAATCTAACAAAACAAGAAGCAATTACAAGTTGAAAAAAAACTAGAAGCATTTACAAATTGTAAAAAAACTTAAAACATTATTTACAATTTGTAAAATGTTTTAAACATAAACTTGAAACAACATAAACTCCAACTTGAAGCAATTACAATTTGTAATTTGTAAAAAAACTTAAAACATTTACAAATTGAAAAAAGTTTATAAGCCTAAACTTGAAGCAATTTAAAAATAAACTTGAAGCATTTACAATTAAACAAAAACTTTAATTTCCAACTTGAAGCTATTTTTTTTTTTGAACTTGAAGCATTTACAACTTAATTTTCCAACTTGTTTCTCAACAACCTAAAAATGCTTTATTTCATTAACTCAAAATGAAATTTGAAACGCTTCTTTTCTTAAAACTTTTTTTAAGTTTGCACTTTAAGAGTACAAGAACAAAAAATGCTTATAAATTTGTTTTAATAATGCGCGTGTTGAAAAGAAAGAAATGAAGCGTTTTAAAACAGTGACGGCATTAAAAGAGTGGAGGTGTTTAAAAAGTTGTTTATCAAGTATTAGCGAGTAGATTATTAAAAATTTTTTAACTAGACATAAAAAACTCGAGGAATTTAAGGATTTAAAAGTTTTCAAAAAAATTTTTTGAAAACAAGAAAAAAGTTTAAATTAAATAGTAAAGGCAAAAAGCTTGTTTTAGAGTGAAATGTTAAAATAAAAAAATGTCAAAAATGGACATAAAATCATGAAATTTTGTATACATCATTCTAAACGTGTTAACTTGCTTCTGTAAAAATTTCATAATTTTTGATTCACTAGAAAAAAAGTTATAGCCAAAAAATGCCCTAAAATAGCTAAAAATGTTTTGTTTTAGTGTTGATTTTTGATCACATCTTACTTAAAAATGTACATAAAATCATGAAATTTTGTATACATAATTTTAATAATGTCAATTTGGTTCTCTAAAAATTTCATATTTTTTGAATGGATAGAAAAAAAGTTATAAGCAAAAAATGTCCTATAATAGCTAAAAATGCTGCCTTGTTCTAGTGTTGATTTTTGATCACATCTTTCTTAAAAATGTACATAAAATCATAAAATTTTGTATGAATAATTTTAATAGTGTCAACTTGTTTCCCTAAAAATTTCATAACTTTTGATTCACTAGAAAAAAAGTTATAACCAAAAAATGCCCTACAATAGCTAAAAATGCCTGGTTTAATGTCTATTTCCGACCATAATTTTTTTTTAAAAATAAATAAATCAAAATTCTTTTTAAAAATAATTAAAAACTAGAGATTCTGGGCTTTCGAATAATATGAAAAATTATTAAAATTGGATTCCGTTACAGTTTTCAATTTTTAATTTTATTTAATGGCGTGCTAATAAGAAGGGCAGAACACACATTTTATAAAATATTTAAACAGCTTATAAAATCCTTAACATTTTATCCGTTCGAAAAAATCGGTAAGGGATTATATAAGCGGATTTAATAAAAAAATTGAAAATTATTTGGATAAATGTCAGTCTGGAGAAAAAAAAAATTAAAACATTTTTTTGCTAACAGAAAAAAATTGTCTGCAGCAAAACCGTTAAGTTTTATGCAGTTGTAAACTTTCTGCTTTTTGTATGTCTAAATAGGATCCGGAAAATTCCGGATTGAAAATAGAGAAGTTAGAAGTTATAAATAAAAATATTTCTCAAATATTCCGGAAAGTAGAGTGTATCATTAATATAATGTATTTCCGGAAAATAGATAGTCCGGAAAGATGTTACAAATAGTTTCTGGAAAATACAATCCGGAAAATACAATAAAAAAAATATTTCCGGAAAAGTCCTAAACAATACATATATTATCAGAAAATGTGTTTTTCCGGAATAATAAATTATTAATAAATGTTTCCGGAAAATTTCCGGAAATAAGCAGTTTCTGGAAAATGTCTTAAATATTTTTTCCGGAAACATAATAATATTTCCTGAAAAATCCGGAATAAATATTCCGGAAAAATGTATTTTTCAGGTGTTTTCCGGAAAAGAATATTATAAGTAATATATGTAGTTTCCGGAAAATGTGTTTTTCAGGAAAATACATTATTAATAAATGTTTCCGGAAAATTTCCGGAAATAAGAAGTTTCCGGAAAATGTCTTAAATATTGTTTCCGAAAACAATAATATTTCCGGAACATAATAATATTCCGGAAAATCCGGAATGATATATTCCCTTCCGGAAAAGAAGAGTTACAAGTATAATAATATACATATATATGTTTCCGGAAAATACATATAATTTCCGTATTTTTATGAATTTCAGGTTAGACATAGTTCTGGTTAGACAATATTTATATGACGCGTGTGAACTTAAGAAAGACAAAATTAATTATTTGCAAGCATGCTACAACTTTAATTTAAAAAGTGTAAAATATTTACGTATTTAATAATTATATTCTATGAAAAACAGATTTAAAATTAAAAAAAAAAATCGAAAAAAATTAAACAAAAAAATTTAATCTTTTAATAACGTCATTAGCAACAGAAAATTAATTCACAAAAAATATGTGACGAGATAAGTAGCCTGTAGAAAATGTTAGTGTGTGACTTTGGCACTCTTATTTAAAAAGTTTTTTGAGGGAAAAAATGTGTAAAAAAGAGGAGGGAATATTGAAAGACAATTGAGACATAGTATGATAATGAAAAAAGGATATTTTTTAACTTTAATAAAGTGCAAAAAATGGCATATTAATGTCTAGCCGAGTTAGACTTGAAAGGTATTTAGTTAAGTAAAAATGTAGGTGGGTGGGAAAAATAAAGAAAAAATGAGAGAAAAGTTGAGAAAAAAGTCGGTATTAAATTTTAAGAAAAAAAATGATAATTAATTATAAAAATTTAAAAATTGTTTTTAAGCATTTGCTACAGTTTAAGGTATTTGTAGCATATAAAATAATAAACTTGAAATAATTAAAAATATAAAAGTGCAGCAAGTTTTATTAAAACAAATATATTTTTAAAAACAAGTTTTAAAACATGTTTAGCGCATAGAATAATAAACTTGAAATAATTCTAAAGCAGGTAAAAAACATAAAAACACAACAAGTTTTGTTAAAACAAGTTTATTTAAAAACAAGTTTAAACTTGTTTTCTAAACTTGTTTTTAAATAAACTTTAAACTTGTTGCGCTTTAATTTTAATTAAAACTTGTTTTAAACCAAATTTAAGTTTTAGTTAACAAAAACTTAAGTTTGTAAACTTAAAAGTTGGAAATTAAAACTTGACAGTAAAAATACAATTCCGGAAATTTGTAATATACTTTGGAAAATATAAAAATTAAATACAATAAATTAACTAGAAAAAGTTTTAATGTTTCGAAAATAAGTAAGTGTGGATATTAATAATAAAATTAAAAATACCCAAAAAAGGATTATATATTAATGACGCAGCATAATAAAAGTGAAAAACACACGTTTTTCTATTGATTTTAATTTTTTGGCCCAAAACCTTTTTTCCCTTTATTTTCTCCTTTTAAACGTTGCCAAAAATGGATTGAAAAGAATTTTTTCTCTCAAAATAATTTTTAAAATAAAAAGTGATATAAGGGCCAAAAATGAAAGAAAAGTTAAAAAGAAAAATTAGTAATACCCATTATTTATTATTCTTCGAATCCAATCGCAGTAAAATTAAAAGAAAAATTAAATAAAAGAAGAAAATTCAGGCAAAAATAAATTTATAAGAGACAAAGGTAAAATATTTATATAAATGTTTTTGGTCTCCGATTAAAATTTAAAAAAAAAGTATAGTAATCTTAAAAATGATATTTAATTAAAATCAGGAAAAATCGAGAGAAAACGGGAGAAAATTAAAAAATAGAAAAAATTAGAGAAAATAAAGAAAGGTAATTAAAGAAAGAGAAGAAAGGTTAATTAATGAACAATAGAGACAATCTTTCCGGAAATATAAAATTTAAATGTATTTTCCGGATAATTATTTTATTGTATTTTCCGGGAACAAAAATGAGAATATTAGATAGACATAAACTTTCCGGAAAAGTTTGTATGAAATAGAGAATATAAAAATACTTTCCGGAAAACAAATATAATAATATACTATCCGGAAAACACAAAGAAAATAATACACTTTCCGGAAAATACACTTTCCGGAAAACATATAAAATAATATACATACTTTCCGGAAAACACACATGATATAATATACTTTCCGGAAAACACGCAAAAAAATAATAAACTTTTCCGGAAAATACATAAAATAATACACTTTCCGGAAAACACATATAAAATATTCGGAAAATACACTTTCCGGAAAAGTTTTTAATGAATATAGTATAAAATTAAAAATACTTTCCGGAAAATACATATAATAATATAATCCTTTCCGGAAAAATACATACAAATTAAATAAACACAAACTTAAAATACAAA